TCTATAGTCTAGTCTATAGTCTAGTCTATAGTCTAGTCTATAGTCTAGTCTATAGTCTAGTCTATAGTCTAGTCTATAGTCTAGTCTATAGTCTAGTCTATAGTCTAGTCTATAGTCTAGTCTATAGTCTAGTCTATAGTCTAGTCTATAGTCTAGTCTATAGTCTAGTCTATAGTCTAGTCTACAGTCTAGTCTATAGTCTAGTCTATAGTCTAGTATATAGTCTAGTCTATAGTCTAGTCTATAGTCTAGTCTATAGTCTAGTCTATAGTCTAGTCTATAGTCTAGTCTATAGTCTAGTCTACAGTCTAGTCTACAGTCTAGTCTATAGTCTAGTCTATAGTCTAGTCTATAGTCTAGTCTATAGTCTAGTCTTAGTCTCTATAGTCTAGTCTATAGTCTAATCTATAGTCTAGTCTATAGTCTAGTCTATAGTCTAGTCTATAGTCTAGTCTATAGTCTAGTCTATAGTCTAGTCTATAGTCTAGTCTATAGTCTAGTCTATAGTCTAGTCTATAGTCTAGTCTATAGTCTAGTCTATAGTCTAGTCTATAGTCTAGTCTATAGTCTATTCTATAGTCTAGTCTATAGTCTATTCTATAGTCTAGTCTATAGTCTATTCTATAGTCTAGTCTATAGTCTATTCTATAGTCTAGACTATAGACTATAGAATAGACTATAGAATAGTCTAGTCTATAGTCTAGACTATAGACTAGACTATAGACTAGACTAAAGAATAGACTATAGACTAGACTATAGACTAGACTATAGACTAGACTATAGACTAGACTATAGACTAGACTATAGACTAGACTATAGACTAGACTATAGACTAGACTATAGACTAGACTATAGACTAGACTATAGACTAGACTATAGACTAGACTATAGACTAGACTATAGACTAGACTATAGACTAGACTATAGACTAGACTATAGACTAGACTATAGTCTAGTCTATAGTCTAGTCTATACTAGAATATAGACTAGTCTAGTCTAGTCTATATTCTAGTCTATATTCTAGTCTATAGTCTAGTCTAGTCTATATTCTAGTCTATAGTCTAGTCTATAGTCTAGTCTATAGTCTAGTCTATAGTCTAGTCTATAGTTTAGTCTATAGTTTAGTCTATAGTCTAGTCTATAGTCTAGTCTATAGTCTAGTCTATATTCTAGTCTATAGTCTAGTCTATAGTCTAGTCTATAGTCTAGTCTATAGTCTAGTCTATAGTCTAGTCTATAGTCTAGTCTATAGTCTAGTCTATAGTCTAGTCTAGTCTATAGTCTAGTCTATAGTCTAGTCTATAGTCTAGTCTATAGTCTAGTCTATAGTCTAGTCTATAGTCTAGTCTATAGTCTAGTCTATAGTCTAGTCTATAGTCTAGTCTATAGTCTAGTCTATAGTCTAGTCTATAGTCTAGTCTATAGTCTAGTCTATAGTCTAGTCTATAGTCTAGTCTATAGTCTAGTCTATAATAAATTCACTTTTTTAAGAAAGTTGCTAAGTTTGTCTATTTTTATAAAATTTTCAAAGGTTTATCATTTTATAAAAAAATGTTACCTTTTTATAGAAAATGTTTGGAAAATTTTCCTTTTTTTGAAATTGCGAAAATTCTCTGTTAAGTAGATTTTTTGAACGTTCTTCCTTTAAGTTATCACAAAGGATTGAATTTGGACCACAGCCTGTGACTTTTTGTTGGTATTTGATTTAAAAAAGGAAATACTTTTTACCCTAACCCTCTTTAAAATCATATAACATTTCGTTGACCAGTAACAAATTTTTGTAGAAAAGAAAAATATAAACTTTTTTGTGACCACCACAAAATATAAAAGTTTTCCTTTTTTTTCAACTGCAAATTTTTTTTACAAGTATCACATTTAATTTTTTCAAATTTTTTTGGCTACGTCAGGGAAATTTTGTACTACTTTTCTGTTGTTAATACTAGCGCTGTTGTTGTGTTTGTTATTTAGTCCTGTCATAATCATTATGGGCACCTGTTGTGCTTGTGTTTATGTTGAACGCCTTATTAAAAGTAATAAAAGAATTTTTTCTCTACATTTTTTTCAACACGGTTGGGGTTTATAACATTACTAACAAGATCATAGTTATTTAAGTTTTTTCCCCGCAAAAAAATATTAAACTTTTAAGAGTAGAAGAAAGATTTCAACTAAAAATATTTTGTAATTTTATTAATAAAATTTGTATAACCAGAGTTTTATTAAAAAAACAACCAACTTATTTTACAGTATGAGTGTCAAAAAATGTATTTTTGCTTCCTGCATTTGTTGCTACTATTGTTATTAAGTTTTATTTTGTTTTTCTTCAAAAAAAGCCTTTAATTAAGTTTATTACTATAATAGCTAAAGAAAGTTTTTAATTTTGTTCATTAAGTCAAGACATTTTCTTAATTATGAATATGAAGAAACATTTTTTTATGTTTTTAATTAATAAGACAAAATAAAAAAACACCAACATGAAATGAAATATTTTTAAGTGCCATCAAATGTTAGAAGAGCAGCAATTAGTTTAAGACTTCTTATTCCTAAAGTAAAAGTGTCTGTCGGTCTGAAGGTGTCTTATTAAAAATTCTTCAAAAGTATTTATAAGTTTAAGCTTGTAGTTTAATTTTTCATCTATTTTGTTTTGTTATTAATGAAGACATTTTATAGGGATTATATGCATGTATTTAAGTATGTATGTTTCTATGTACAGGCAAATTTTAATTAATTTATTATTAGTTATCTATTTAAGGAAGGGAATTAACTATTGTTAATTAAATAGATTAGTGTTATTAAGGTAAAAACTGTAGAGAAAACAAGGAAATTATATTTAAGCCTGCTAATTAAGATAGAAATAGTAAAAACTGTTCACTTAATATCTCTTTTTATTATAAAACTTCCGGAAAATTGCTCAAAACATTTTTCAAGATTCAAGTTTTAATATATTTTAATTTTCTCAAATTTCTCTTAAGGTAATTTTTTGTAGCATTTATTTTTTATTATAAAATTTATAAAACAATAAATAGAGATTTATAACTTATATATATATTTTTTTTCGTAGAATTTTTTGGAAAACCTTTCTTTGTTACAGAATATTTTTAATAGTAAATCTTGGAAATCTTTTATTTTTTTATAGAAAATCTTCGAAAATTCTCTCTTATATAGGAAATTTTCGGAAATTTTTTTTTTTATAGAGAAATTTTTGAAAATTTCTCTCTTTATAGAAAAGTTTCGTAAAATTTCCCTTTTTATATAAAATTTTCGGAAAATTTCTCTTTTTACAGAAAAGTTTCGGAAAATTACTCTCTTTATAGAAAAGTTTCGGAAAATTTCTCTTTTTATAGAAAAATTTCGAAAAGTTTCTCTTTCTATAGAACATTTTCGGAAAATTTCTCTTTTTATAAAAAAAATTTTGGAACAATTTTTCTTTTTATGGAAAATTTTCGAAAAATTTTTTCTTTTTATAAAAATTTTTTTGGAAAATTTCTCTTTTTATAAAAACATTTTTCTTATATCTCTTTATGATAAAAAATGTCCGAAAATTCGTCTTTTTATAGAAAATTTTCGGAAAATTTGTCTTTTTATAGAAAATTTTCGGAAAATTTGTCTTTTTATAGAAAATTTTCGGAAAATTTGTCTTTTTATAGAAAATTTTCGGAAAATTTGTCTTTTTATAGAAAATTTTCGGAAAATTTGTCTTTTTATAGAAAATTTTCGGAAAATTTGTCTTTTTATAAAAATTTTTTCGGAAAATTTGTCTTTTTAAAGAAAATTTTATAGAAAGTTTCCAAAAATTTCACGTTTCAATAACGTGAAATTTTCCGAAAATTTCTCTTTTTATAGAAAATTTTCGGAAAATTTTTCTTTTTATAGAAAATTTTCGAAAAATTTCTCTTTTTATAGAAAATTTTCGAAAATTTTCTCTTTTTATAAAAAATTTTCGAAAAATTTCTCTTTTTATAGAAAATTTTCGAAAAATTTCTCTTTTTATAGAAAATTTTCGAAAAATTTATCTTTTTATAGAAAATTTTCGAAAAATTTATGGTTTTATAGAAAATTTTCGAAAAATTTATGGTTTTATAGAAAATTTTCGAAAAATTTATGGTTTTATAGAAAATTTTCGGAAAATTTATGGTTTTATAGAAAATTTTCGGAAAATTTATGGTTTTATAGAAAATTTTCGGAAAATTTATGGTTTTATAAAACATTTTCGAAAAATTTCTCTTCTTTTTAAAAAATATTCGGAAAATTTCTCTTTTTATAGAAAATTTTGGGTTATTTCTCTTTTTATAGAAAAAATTTCGGAAAATTTCTCTTTTTATAGAAAATTTTCGTAAGTTTTTTTTTATAGAAAAATTTCGTAAAAATTCATTTTTTTTTATAGAAAAATTCGTAAATTTTTTTTTTATAGAACATTTTTGGAAAATTTTATAGAATTTTTTTTGGAAAATTTCTCTTTTTTATAGAAAAGTTTTCTTTTAGAAAATTTTCAGAAAACTTCCCTTTTTATAGAAAATTTTCAGAAAATTTCTCTTTTTATAGAAAGTTTATCTTTTTTATAGAACATTTTTGAAAAGTTTATTCTTTTTATAGAAATTTCTCGGAAAACTTAAATTTTTGTTGGAAATCTTTGAAAAACTTTTTTTATAGAAAATTTTCGAAAGATTTTCTTTGTTATAAAAAATGTTTGGTTGTAGATTTCTCTTTTAAAACAGTATCTTCGTAAAATTTCGCTTTTTAAGAAATTTCTTATTTTATAGAAAGTTTACGAAAAAACTCTCAATTAAAAGAAAATTTTTGGAAAATGTATCTTTGTATAGAATGCTTCTTATTATTATAGATATTATAGAACATTTTCCTACAACAGAGGAAAAAAAATGAAGCCAGGTTTTTAATTACCAGCTTAATTTACTAGATCTATTCATTATTAATATGACCAAACATCAAACTTCATTTTCCAGTTTTTAAAATATTTTATAGAATAATATTAATACACCACTTACCTTGATGACAGGAATGCTTTAAATGTTCCCAATAAACCAGCTCTTCTACCCTGACGATAACAGGCAAAATCTGCACCACGTATACCCTGTAAATCGCCAATATAAGGTTCATTCAGAGCTGCCACTCGTAACTACAGAAAAAAACAGAAAATTTACAACATTTTAATAAAGTTTTATACTCATATAAACGTGAAATAAATATACAAAATATAAATATTTAATTAATAAAATTATAATGAAATTAATATTTAAAGTACTTTTTTTCCTTCTGCCATGGTAAATATTTATACAAATGTAAATTAAAACTTAAACAAATAATAATAAAAAAATAATAAAGTAAATGAACTGATAAATACTTAAATATTTATTAAAAATAACACATAATAATACTTGTAGGTATAAATATTTAATATGGTTAAATCATTTTTTTCTTTTTTTTTTTAAATTACTATAATACTAATGGTGATAAACTTACCATACGTGGATACCACTAATTAATGATTTAATCAATAATAATGAAAAAAGAGAAAGAGAGAAAATAATATTTTTTTAAATGAAATTATTTATAGAATTATTTTGTTCAAATGGTTTGCAAAATAAGTTAATTTTGTGATATTGTTTTTACAATTACAACAAACATTTAAAATGCAAAAAAAAAAAATTTAGAAATGAAATAAAAATAATTAAAGAAAACAATTATAACAAACATACACATTTAAATAACACACATTTTAAAATTCTATTTTTATACCCATCATCAAACAAGATGGGGTTATATTGATTTTGTCATTCCGTTTGTAACACATCGAAATATTGGTCATAGACCCACAAAAGTATATATATTCTGCGTTCTCATTAAATTCTAAGACGATCTAGCCATGTCTGTCCGTCCGTCCGTCCGTCCATCTGTCTGTCTGTCTGTCTGTCTGTCTGTCCGTCTGTCTGTTGAAAGCACGATAGAGTCCGAATGGAAAGAGCTAGAGGATTGAAATTTCACATAAATATTTCTTATAGGTAAGGTTTGTTTGGTATTGAAGATGGGCAATATCGGTCCACGTTTTCGGATACCCCCATACAAGTGGCCCCTCGAAAAGCAGCTTTAACAGCCATAACATGTTTAAAAATACGAATATAGCGATAAAATTCGACATAAGTAAGTTTCTTATGATTCAAAATCACTATGCAAAATTTTATGAGGATTGGTTCATAACTGACCCTACCCCCCATATAAGTTCCCCTTCAGAAAATGACTTTAACGCTCATTACTGGCTTAAAAATACTAGTATATAGATGAAATTCGACATAAGTAAGTTTCATACGAGTCAAAATCTATCTAAAAAATTGTATGAGGATCGGTCCATGATTGACCCTACCCCCCATATTAGGTCCCCTTCAGAAAATGACTGCAACGCTCATTAATGGTTTAAAAATACGAGTGTAGCGATGAAATTCGACACAAATCAATTTAATACGACCCAAATTCTGTCTACCAAATTTTATGAGGATCGACCCATAATTGATCCTACCCCCCTATATAAGGTCCCCTTCAGAAAATTACTTTAACGCTTATATCTGGCCTAAATATACGAGTATATAGATGAAATTCGACATAAGTAAGTTTCATTCGAGTCAAACGTGGTTTGATGGTGGGTATATAAGATTCGGTATAGCCGAATATAACACTCTTACTTGTTTAATTATATAATGACCTATTGACCTGTCCTTGCAAAACTTCTCTGTCTTTTATACATCATGCAGACATTTAAACAAACTTAAAATTTAACCTAAATAATGTGTTTGTTGGTTTCACAAATTAATATGGACAAATAAATTCCTTGGTGGCACAAGTGATATGTATCGACTAACTGTTTATTGTGTGTTTGTATGTATATGTTTGTTTTTGAAACACAATTGTGATTTCCCTTTAGAATAGTATATTCAATCCATTCATGAGATAAAAAAACTCTACTCCAGTAAAACGTTTTTAAAATACAAAATAAAGTAAAGTTAAATTTTTGATTAGACACATTTGAAAGCTGTCATTTGCTTGATTTTTAAATTGCCTTATTAAATATTGACATTTAAAGTGTTTTTTTTGTCGATATTTTCTTACTTTTTTCTATAAAATTTTGAACACAAATACTTGCAGTTATCCAGAAAAAAAATTTAAATTTATAAAATAAAAATATTATTTACTTAAATATTATTTGTTAAAACATTTTCTTTATTAAAGAAAATAATATTATCTTAAAATATAAAGAAATAGATAAATAAATCAAATTTCATATATAATACATACAGACACGCATACTCGTTTACATACATAAATAATTTCTCAAACATTTATATTTTATTGCTAATACATGCACACATTAATATTTTATTTTATAAACTTATATGTGTGTAAACAATTTTCCAGAAAATATTGACAAGAAAGAACTAAACAAAATTCACAAGACAGGAAAGCAAATAGACAATGCAATAAGAACAGATAAAGCTGATAATAAAACTAAATAAATAAATATTTTGTCAATCATACATCCATCAAAAAAAATAAAACGAAAAAGGAATATTGATCGACCAGAAAATTGTTGAACAAAATTTAACAATAAAAATTCCTAGAAAATCTTAAGTTCTCTTAACATTTCTTTAGAAAATATTATATGATAAGATAAAATTTGTATAAAAATGGGACAATTTTGCATAAAAGAACAATTTTTGCTAAAATTTAAATTAAAAAAAAAAATTCTATAAACAGAAAAATTTTCAAAAATTTGTAAGAAAATTTTCTATAAAAAGTGAAATTTACAGAAAATTTTCTATAATAAGAGAATTTTTCAAAAAAAAAATTCTATAAAAAGAAGAAAGTTCCTTAAAGTTTTGTATCAGTATAAAAAGAGAACATTTTTTTTAAAGAAATATGTTTTCTCTTGAAAAAGAAATTCTCAAATGTATTCTATTAAAAGAGAAAATTTCTTAAAATTTTCTTTAAAAACATTTTGCAAAATTTTCTATAAAAATATAAATTTTGTAAATAGAAAGACTTTAAAAAAATTATATTCAAAGATAAATTTTTTGGAAATTTTCTATAAAAAAGAGATAATTATGAAAAATGTTCTATAAAATGAAAAGTTTTCAGAAAATCTTCTACAAAAAGGAGACATTTTAAGAAAATATTATATAAATGTTTTCATTTACTTTCCTTGAAAAGAAAAGAATGAGAAATTTTCAAAAAAATTTCTATAAAAAAGGGAAAATATTCTACGAATACTCTATGAAAACTTAAATTTTCTATTAAATGGGAAATTTTGCAATAATAGTTAGTAAAAATAGAAATTTCTCTATTTTATAAAATAAAAATTTTCCTAATTTTTCAAAAAAAAAGTTATAAAAAGAGACATTTTCCTAAAATTTTCTTAAAACAAAAGTAACTTTTCTAAGATTTTCGAAAATATTCTAAAAAAGGAGAAATTTTTCAAAAAACTGTAGACATTTTTCGAAAACTTTGTAAAAACTAGAGAAATTTAAAAACAAATTTAATAAAAATAGAAATATTCTAATAAAAGATAAACTTTCAGAAATTTATCTAAAAAAGAAAAAAATTTGCAATTCTTTCTATAAACATTTTCCGAAGATTTCCTATAAAAAGAGAAATTTTCCGAAAATTTTCTATAAAGAGAAAAAGTTTCCGAAAACTTTCTATCAAAAAATATAAATTTTCTGAAGATTTCTATAAAAAGAGAAATTTTCCGAAAATTTTCTATAAAAATAGACGAAAATTTTCCATAAAGAGCGAAATTTTCCGAAAATTTTCTATAAAAAGAGAGATTTCTGAAGATAAATTTTCCGAAAATTTCCATAAGAGCGAATTTTTCCGAAAATTTTCTATAAAAAGAGACATTTTCTGAAGATATCTATAAAAAGAGAAATTTTCTGAAGATTTTCTATAAAAAAAAACACATTTTCCGAAAATTTCTCAAAATTTTCTCTACAAAGCGACATTTTCCGAAGATTTTCTATAAAATTATATATTTTCTGAAAATTTTCTATAAAGATTATTCAATAAAAGTAGAAATTTTCCGTAAAGAGAGAAATTTCGGAAAAATTTCTATAAAAAAGAAATTTTCTATAAGATAAATTTTTGTTCTATAAAGAGAAATTTTCCAAAAATTATCTAGAAAGAGAGAAATTTTCCGAAAAGCTTCTATAAAGAGAGAAATTTTCCGAAAAGTTTCTATAATTTTCCGAAAAGCTTCTATAAAGAGAGAAATTTTCCGAAAAGTTTCTATAAAGAGAGAAAATTTCCGAAAAGTTTCTATAAAGAGATAAATTTCCGAAAATTTTCTATAAAGAGAGAAATTTTCCGAAAAATTTCAATAAAGAGAGAAATTTTCCGAAAAATTTCAATAAAGAGAGAAATTTTCCGAAAAATTTCAATAAAGAGAGAAATTTTCCGAAAAATTTCAATAAAGAGAGAAATTTTCCGAAAAATTTCAATAAAGAGAGAAATTTTCCGAAAATTTTCTATAAAGAGAGAAATTTTCCCAAAATTTTCTATAAAGAGAGAAATTTTTAAGAAAATTTTCTGTAAAGAGAGAAATTTTCCGAAAAGTTTCTATAAAGAGAGAAATTTTCCGAAAAGTTTCTATAAAGGGACAAATTTTCCGAAAAGTTTCTATAAAGAGGGAAATGTTCCGAAAAGTTTCTATAAAGAGAGAAATTTTTCGAAAAGTTTCTATAAAGAGAGAAATTTTCTGAAAATTTTCTATCAAAAAAGAGGCATTTTCTGAAGATTTTTATAAAAATAGAAAATTTCCGAAAATTAAAGAGAGAAAATTTTTAATAAAGAGGGAAATTTTCCGAAAAGTTTCTATAAAGATAGAAAATTTCCGAAAATTTGCTATAAAAACATAAATTTTCTGAAAATTTTCTATAAAAAGAGGAATTTTCTGAAAATTTTCTATAAAAAGAAAAATTTTCAAAAAACTTCCATAAAAATCTCTTTTTATGGAAGTTTCAGAAAAAGGAAAATTTTGCGAAAGTTTGCTATTAAAAGAGAAAACTTCCGAATATCTCCTATAAAAAGAAAAATTTTCTATGAAAGGACAAAATTTCCGAAAATTTACCAAAACATTTGGTAAAATTAAGTTTCATATATTTTCTATGAAAAGAGACATTTTCCGAAAATTTTCTAATTTTTCTCTTTTTATAGAAACATGTCGTAGAAATTTTCTATAAAAATATTCTTGGTAAATTTTTCCATAAAAAGCAAAATTTTCAAAAGAAAATTTTGGGAAAATTTATTCTTTCTTTTATCTCCATAAAAGTTAGTTTTTTATAAAAGGAGAAATTTTCAAAAAAAAAATTATAAAAAAATTTCCGAAAATGTTTTACAAAAAGAGAGGTTTACGTTTGTATGGGTTTTAGGTGAAATAATGGACCGATTGTAACCATTTTCAATATGCTTCATCCTTGGGTCAAAAGAAGAGC